ATCATTGTAAAAATAAATCGCAGTTTGCGAAGCGTTTCGTATTAATTGTAGATTATTAGGAGAAAGAGGTGAAATTTTCTCCTCAAGTGCTTTCTCGTGAAAGTATATAGAATTGTGGATCACGCAATGGAGGAAAAGAAGACGTTAAGCGTGGGAAAAATGAACCGCGACGTAATTTCGCGACGTAAAATGGGAGGAAAAGAGCGCGTTTCGCAGAGTTGTTCCCGAGCTGTGCGCTATGTGCGTGCGACACGCGCAGACGCGTGTGTATGCGTGTGCGTTTTGCCGACCACTACGCGAGGGCGAATTGCGCGAGAACTTGTACCTTGCAAAACGGGGCGCGTTATCGCGCGTTATTCGCCACCCTGTCGCGGGTCTTCCGACCACGTTTATTCTGTGATAGACATACATGCGTTTACAAAACGGACGCGCGGGTGTGCGTAATGCGTTCGTACCCGCGATGCTGCGCTATGATGTTACCTAAGTTTATTTCGCGAGAAATAAGATGAACTGACGATTAATGCAAAATATTCTCTCTATAATTAATTTCCCCCTTCCCGCATACCTGCCCTCGTAGCCAAGGACTGAATGTAGAAATAATTTCGCTGCTGTTCGCATGCGTTTGGGTGCGTACATTCTGTTTCTTCGCGTGTACTCTGTTTTTATATGTAATTACATTGCTAAAAGTTCCTAAGGTTGCATCACATCTATTTTAATAATTGTTATAATTTTTTTTTATTTTTACAGTAAAAGATTTATGAAAAACTTATAGATTATTTCAAATCATATTTAAAAATAATACAAAAGATTTAGCGGCAATAATAATAAATAAGTAACAGTATTTATGCTTTAATAGAAATGTGTTAATGAAAAAAAAAATTGAGATTTTTATCATTATTTCCTAATTACATTTCGATTAAAATACATTTTGGTATTTAAATAATTTTTTACCCAGATTCTAAATCACCGCAAAATGTTTTGTACTTTTAAATGCGACCTAGAATAATCTATAATATTTTTACTATAACTAAAAATAGATATATTATATCGTTAATTATACATGTTGAGTATCGGTGTTTAACCAAAAATTTTATAATACCGGCAATATACGCAATTTGTCAATAATTTGTCGTATTACTATTATATCGTATGACAAATGTTGATAGGTTTAATATGATTCTCATAACACTCTGAGATATCATATATGTATTGTATATCTCGTAAAAAAAAGAAAAGTTACGAGAAAGAAACAATATTAATCAATCAAATGGCTGGATTCCATAAAGCGCATATATATATATATATATATACACACACTTTGTTATAGTAAACGTGACATAAACTATAAATAAATGCACGCGCTTTACAGAATTTAGCTAATGCTTGGATTTCATGTTACATTTCTCTCTTGTAATTGATTTAATAATCTCGACGTAATATGCTTCGGTAATATGCTTACGTCATATCTATTTATTTCGATCACTTTTCATAATCATATAAAATCAACAAGTAGTAGTTCTATACAGAATCGATACTTTTACATTTTCAATTTTTATCCACTGCTTCAAATGTCACGCTTCAATTCAGAGACAATTGCTCGCTCACCTCTCTCTCTCTCT